GACCTGAGGATGTACTGGGAACGCAGGCAGAGCAACCGGAGAGGACAAGAGCATCTCCACCCACGCCAAGGCCGAAGGGCCACGCTGTGGGAACAGGAAGAGAGACAAAACGGGCAAGGTCCAGACACCTGGTACCCAGGGACCTCCCTCTTCAGAAGGGATCCTGGATACCGAGATCTCAGCCACACCCAGGCTGATACCTCGCCTTTAGGAACCCCAGCCAAGTGCTCACGGACCACGGACTCCTCCTCACTGACTGAATCCGATTTGCTTAGGCCCTTCCTCAAAGCCTGAAGGAGAACCACATGTGTTAGAGTGTGCTGGGCAGCGATAAGAAGATAGTCAACTACCCGTCCGTGCATCCCGTGCTGTGTCTGGGACCCATTTCTCCAGTGAACGCTGCTAAGCACCTGTTGTATGCCCCGCACTCACGCCACAGTTAGAGCATGTGAGGAGGGCCACAAAGGACGAGCCCACCCTGTCCTTGTCCTGCTGTTCCAAGCACCGTAGAGGGCGGATAGGTTGGCATGCCACCCCCTCGGCAGGCTCACCTGCCACCTCTCCTGTTTATTCACCTCCCTAATCACCCTGGGGTTGGCCAGGTTGGCACAGGACCACCATGAATGCTATTATGAGGATGCTTGTTGCAGGGAACCCGTACCAACTTGGAAAAGCGGATGGGGTAAGCACCAGCCAGAGCCTCTTTGTTGTTCAGGGGGGAGTGGGGAAGGTATTTTCCGTTAGCCCTGTCACCTGGTGGGCGGCACAGTCCCTTTATTTCATCATCAGAGGAATGGAGGATTGGGATAGGAGGAGTATTAGATGCTCCAGCTCACTCAGTCCATCCAGCACACTGTTCTGGAGGGAGTTGAGTTCCTGTCCAGGGCCCCTACCACTCCAGGGTTATACAAAGTAAGGTCTCTGGGGGTCAGTGGACTCCAGGCCTTTTGAGCTGGGGTTGAGAAGAACACATAATAAATTAATTAATTAATTAATTAAATATTTTAGAAAACTGCCCTTTCCGATTCAAACCGGTTCAGTTCAGCTCCTGATTCTGTGTTATCTCCAGCAAGGAGCTTGATCTCTCTCAGCCTCAGTTGCTTCGTCTGGGAAATGGGGAAGCACAGCATTCTGCCTCGTCGGAAGATTCCGGAGATTAGTAATGACAGCCGTCACGTCTCTGGTGCTGACACCAAGCCAGGCACCCGGGGCTTCTCATGAGGTCATGTGTGGAAGCCCTGGCCTCTGGCCAGCCAGGAGTCAAGCCCCATCACGGGAGGCACGGGTGCAGTTTCACAATAGCGCTGGTGCTCAGCGCATGTGGTTAACGTTTAATAGTGGAAGAAGTTTAGCAAGCCCTAGGCACATAGTAAGCGCTCGATAAATGGCCTTCATTATAAGCCAGAGAATGGGGACCTGTGTGTGGAAGTCCCATGACAAAGAATGTGGAGAGGTAGGCGGCCCAAGGTGATGCTTCCCCGTCTATTTCTTTCTCCCCAGGAGGGCCAGCCCTGTGTGTGTGTTAGCCAGCTCCCCAGGCTGGGACGTCAGTTCTTACTCACTCTCCCCAGGGAGAAGCTTAATTAGCCTCCCAGCAGCCAGGAGCACCCCAGATGAAAGGTGCTGAATGTGAGTATAAGGCGTGACCCCCATATTTACAACCAAGGCTCCCTTAGGTGAGGAAGGCCGGGGGCGGAAGAGGCAGGCCAGATCAGGGCCTTGCCTTGTTTATGACAGAGGTTCTCAGGAAAGGGAGCTGGCTGCGGTGGCTGTGTGTCTGAGAAGTCTGCAGGGGGTGGGGGTGGGGGTGGGGCTGCAGAGGGCCTGAGAGGGGAAGGGATTGGGGGGGGGGGGCTGAAGGGGATCAGGAGGCTGAATGGTGTTCCGATGTTCTGCCTCCTGTACCACGAGCTCCACGGCCAGGACACCGGCTTTGATCGGGTGGGTCAGAGTAGGTAAAGCGCTCTGATTCGGGGCTGCCAGGTCTAAATCCCAGCTCCACTGTGGCATTCTGTGTCCTAGAGCCTGGACTCCCTCATTGACTGATGGTGCTTAGCGGGTAGGTGCTGGCACCCACTGTGCCCATAAGGAGCATCTGTGCATTCCATAGGCGCTAACTGAGTGTCTCTCCTGTGCCAGCCATGGGGTGCTGGAAATAGAGCACTTCAGACAGGAGGGGTTCGCTCGGCTGCACGACACACCCCAGGCACAAGAACAAGAGATAAGAACTCCAGTGCCTAGCAGTCTCTGCTCACCATGGCGAGGACGACAGTCACATGTCAGATGCAGAGGTCACATGATACCCTGGACCAAAAAAAAAAAAAAAAAAAAGATCAGCTGCTGAGGCAGGGAAAGCTGACATGGGCAGACTCAGAGACAGGGTTGAGGGGCCAGGTCTGTAGCATGGGAATCTTTTTTTTTACCCCCAGAGCTGAGGACTGAACCCAGGGCCTTGCGCTTGCTAGGCAAGCACTCTACCACTGAGCTAAATCCCCAACCCCCAAGCATGGGAATCTTGATCCACATCTGGCAAAGCAGATGTGGCAGTCCCCTCTGCCTCTGGCAGTCTGGTTCAGTGAGGCCAAGAGCTGCGTAACCACCATGTCCCTGCCTAGGGTCTGGGAATTCATTCATTCATTCATTCATTCATTCATTCACTTACTCACTCATTGCCAGTCACTCTCCTGGGCAACAAGGAGAGAAAGATTTAGCGTAATAACAAATCCAGAGTCCCTGTGCTCTAGAGGGCTTAAAATAGAGCAAGGCTGAGGACCTGACTCTGGGAGAGCACTCGACAGCAGTGTGAGAAAGCTGGGTTTGACCCTCGGACTGCCAAAAAGAAATAGCTAAGTATTAAAGTGGCATGAGGGCCAGACCAGCAATGGCCACGTGTCATCAGCAAGGCCAGGGGAAGTACCCAACCTGTGGGCAGTGGTAGCCAGAGGGTGGGGACAGGGTGCGCAGATGCATCCCACAACCCCACCCCACCCTCCGTCTCCATCAGTCTGTCTCCACCAAAGCGGGCTTCCTAGTAAAGCAGGCCAATAACAAGAGCCTGGCACCTCTACCCACACCTGTATCTGGTGCAGGCAAGTGGCGTTGTCCAGCCAAGGAGTCAGAGAAGGGAAGAGGGCATCCCTCCCCTCCCCCCCACTGCATCACCAGGGACCCATGGCGTCATTCCAGGAGACAGTATGGGGTGCTGGGCTGAGCTGAATGGCGGGGGGGGGGGGCTTTCTCGGGACAAAACACTGCCCCCAGCATTGTGCCACCCCCTCATAACAGAGCGCTTCCTAGATTCCAGGCGTGTATTTCTTAAACCACTAAGATGTTACCAAAGACTTTCCCAAGGCCACAGGGCTAGTGTGCAGAGGATTTGTACTGTGCTCTGACTCACCCCAGAATTTACACACACACGGTTCGACATATCCCCCAAGCAAGGCAGCATTTATTTTCCTAGAGGAGCCCACAATGGTCCCCTGTGTACCACGCAGGTTCCTAGTCAGGCAGGCTGCAGAGAAGTGAGGGACGCAATCATCCAACACAGAGTCCCCTCCCCAGCCATGCTCCTTCCAGCCTCTCTCCCTCCCCTGCCTGGTCTCAGCCGGCTGGTCCACAGGCAAGAAGTCCTTCCTGCCTCCGGGAAACCCACAGAGGAGCCGGAGGGAGCTGTCCCCACTAGGTCCAAGTGAGTAGACTGGACCTGGAGAAGGAAGAGAACTGGATGAGAAGTCTAGGTCCTGGTGGTCCATGGGCCTCAGCTAGGAGCGAAATGATCCCTTCAAGCCTGTTCACACCTCCTCCGGCAGCTGTCCTGAGGAACTGCCTTGGTGGAGATCTGAGGGAGCAAGCTAGGTCTTGCTCCAGGTACCTTGACTGACCTGAGGAAGCCCCAGATGCCCTTCAGGGAATCAGGCAGAGGGAAAGGGGTGCATGCGTGGGAAGGTGGCTGATTATCATCTTCCATTTCAGGGGTGGGGCGCGGCCACCTGCCTGGCAAATATAGCCTTGTTGTTTGGCAGGGATGAGCCCCTGCCTGTCTCAGGCTCGCCAAGGGTCAGACAGGGTAACAGGTCTCTGAGAGCCCACCAACCTGAGCTCCATTGTCTGGGTTCCGGCTAAAACACTTCACACGCATCAATTCTGAAGCCAGTCTTGAAATTCACTCTGGGATGAGGACACTGAGGCCCAGAGAGATTTGAGAAATGTGCCCATGGCCGTGTGGTCAATCAGGATGTGTGTTCGGTGCCTCTGACTCCAAAAGTTCTGTCTTTAATGCCCACTTAGGGCTTTTCTGTTGACTGTGCCCAACAGCAGAATCAGCAACAGAGATGTAGTATGAAGGAGGTAGTAGATGCATGAACTTTTTCCCAGTACCCAAGCTGATGAGTAAGTGCATCAGTGAGTGGAGACGTGGATCCGTGAGTGGCTGAGTGGACCCGACACTGGATGAGTGGGTCAATGAGTGGATAGTTATATCAGTGAGTGGCTGAGTGGACCAGTCACCAGATGAGTGGGTCAATGAGTGGATAGTTATATCAATGAGTGGCTGAGTGGACCAGACACTGGATGAGTGGGTCAATGAGTGGATAGTTATATCAGTGAGTGGCTGAGTGGACCAGTCACCGGATGAGTGGGTCAATGAGTGGATAGTTAGTGAGTGGCTGAGTGGACCAGTCACCGGATGAGTGCATCGGTGCACAGATGAGTGGGTCAGTGAATGGATGGGTGTATCGGGACATGCATCAGTGAATGGGCAAGGAGTACGGGGATGGTGATTGAATACGTGAATACGTAGGAGAGCAGAGTGGTAGACAGGTAGCAGGTGGATAAATGGCCTGGCTAGTGGCAGAAACGGTGGCTGTTCTGTCAAATGGCCTTCTGGAGAGATGCAAGAAGGAATGGGGCTTCTGAGAAATAGGGTGGCTCTTTGGGATGCTGGCACAGCAGGAAGAGTACCCCCCAGATCTCCCTCCCTAGAAGGAAGCCTTCAGAAAACCATACTCGGGAGGCCCCAGGACCCTGTCTGCTATGGCCGCCCAGTGACTGGCTAGGTCAATCATTGATGGGTCTTTGAGAGCTGCATTGCTTAAGAGGACCCTGGGATTGACCTGCTGACCCCTGGCAGGGAGGAAAAGAGGAAGGAGAGAGAGGTGGGGACAGGGTGGTCAAGAGGCCCTAGTTGCTGACCTTGGAAGGCAGGGAGGCCTGGTCTGGGTCTTAGGGGGGATTTACTGCCCCAGCCCTGTTTATATAAGAAAGAGGATACAAGATAGTATGGAAATAGTTGACCAAAGGGATCATTGGTGTGACCAGGAAGTGCCACTGGGTCTTTCCCTTCCGGGTTAAGATCTCGCTTAGGATCTAGACTAGGAGGTGAGGTAGACTGGATTGGTCTCAGGTGTGGAGCTACCCTGGCAAATGTGGGTAAGAAGGAGGCTCTTGGTTAGATGTAGTTCTGTGTGTCAGGAACCTGGGAGGAGAGGTAATCAGGGGCCTATGAGTCCATCCTAACACCTTCTGTGAGAAACACAGGGAAAGTCACCTGGCTAACTCAAGGTTGATTATGGGAGTTAAAGTGCACACAGAGAACCCCTCATCCCCCCAGCCAGACCCAGGCAACTCTCTGGAGGAAACTGAGACAAGCCAGGGGAAGGTACTAGCCAGTGGGTCTCTGAAGGGCAAATTCCAAATTCCGTTCAGCCCTGAGACAAAGAATGACAAGAGAATCCTAGAGGGGAGTGAGAATGCCTTCCAAAGACGCTTCGAGATGCTTTAGCTAGGCTACACAGCCAAATACCAGAAGACAGGTTAACAGGAGAAAAATCATATTCAATCTGATGTTTGCACACAGTCACACAAAGCAGGAGACTTGAACAACAAAGTCACATGACTTGAGTTTACATGGCAACCTGAGCTCAGACAGGAATCAGGATACGGGGCATCTGGGAGGCCGCTGGCATACTGCAGAGGACAGAGGCAGACCTGCCATGTGAGTAGTGCTTGTCTTGTTAAAAAGAGAAAGTCTCTCTGGTCAAAAAGGTCCGGAGCAACCCTTCTGGGGTAACTGCAAATGTATTTCTTTTGTGGGCACCAACTTCTTTCATGAAAGAGCAGGCTTTCAGAGCCATCCCTGCGCCTCTGTAGTTTAAAATATGCCAGAGAAATATGTTTGGGGGTGGTAGATTCTGGTCTCCTACCCTCATGCTGTGAGTGAAGTGTCATGACCACAACATCCACAGTCCAGGTTTCTGGCACAGTCCCTCCCAGTTGTGAGTTGTTGGGACACATAATCCAGTGGGGTAACAAAGGGTCTGAAGAGAGATAGAAGTGTGGGGTGCAGAAGTCTGGTCGACAGGTGATACGCTCTCCCATATCCTGAAGATCTGCTTGATCTGCCAATCGTGGAGAAAACCTCTAAAGGAACAGAGGGACAGACACACACTGCCCTCTATCACATTCCTGAGCTGGGTCCAAGGAAGTCACCAATGGCAAATACTCTAGCCACCCTGCCCTGGGACCAACTGAGCAGGCTCATCAGCTTCTGTTCTGGAATGAAGACTTTCTGGTGTCTAGCCTCCTTCCTGGAAAATGCCACAGAGGACGGTTTAGGCTTGAGGTAAGGCAATTCTGCAGAGGCATCTGTAGGGGGGACCTACAGATGTAGGTTGTAGCAGGGACCCTGGGAGGTGGCGCGCACCCTCTAGTGGCCATTTTCCACACAGGCCGAACAGAGCTTCTGTACCCACATTCCAGGTAAGGTCAGAGGCTCTGAAGATCTGAGTC